CACCCCCTTAGCCTCGTGGCATGCCGTCTCGCTTGTTTATGAGCGGGAAGAGCCGGCAGAAAATCAGGATTGTGCGCCGGCATCTGACACATCGTTAAAAATACCGAGGAAAGGAGGAAGTACGAAGAGGCTTTAGATGAGCAGCGTGTATATATACTTATAAAGAAGATATATTCTCTCCCTCACGAAGAGAAGAAGTCGAGTATAAAGACGAATGCGCAAAAATAAATCCACGTTTAAGATGCGAAAAGCGGATAATCACGACAATAATAGAGAAGAGATAGAAGGTGTGTGAAGAAAAAGGCGGCCATGTCGAAAAAATTCCGAGGTCATTGCCGCTCAGAACTCGTTTTTAGCCTTTTCCCGCCCTGTGTTCGTTGCCTCAACGCGTTCGCGATTGTCCCAGGTCCGGAATAAAAAGGAAGACGATCGACAGAGAAAGAGGCAGAGCGAGGTATGTGGGAGGGGAGAGGCGAAAAAGTATGAGGAAAAGAAGAAGACGAAGTCGCGAATCGGAGAAGCAAGAACAGGAAGGAAGAGAGGAACGGGAGACCCCGAAACTCTTTGGGGTCATTGCCGTCCGGTCTGATTTTAGCCCGTTCCTGTGCCCGTTCACAACCTTCTCTTTCTTTCGCGCCTTTTTCTTTTTCCTCCTCTCGTACTGCCGTTTTAAGCACTCTTTCGAACAAGGTACGGCCGCAGCCATGTTTTTCCTCGAGCGCGTGTACACCTACCGCCTTGTATGCGTGCAAGCAACCTTCGCGTGTTCAGATAGAAAAAGAGGAAAAAAGAAATGAGACGGATAAAAAGGGGGGACGCAACACACAGAGGAGACAAAAAAAGACATAAGGCTAATGCGATCGGTGCGAATCGGTTCCTTACCGCGTGATCAGCCAGAGAATGAAGGGGGAAAAGAATCATTCTATCTGGCACTGAGAGGACGTCGAATTTCATTTACAATTTCATTTTAATCCTGATATGGCCGTTGGTAGCACAACAAATTCGGTAAAATAAATCGTCAGATAGAGCTTGTTTAACGTGTAAAGCAGAGAAAAGAAAAAGAAAACAAAAGGAATGCAGATGCGAGCCGAAGATGTGCTAGCAACGACCATGGTAGTTAAAACTGATGTATGGTACAAGCTAGTCATTCCATGCTTCGCATTCCCGTTCATGGGTGAGGTCGCACGGGGTCGATCGGAGGTCCAAGGTCGATGAAAGTGCTCGCTTTGTTTTCGCAACGCAACGTCTGGCATCGGCCTTTAGATTCTGTACATTCATACTCACGCTAGACGAGGCCGATGCCTGGCAGCATTAGTCGATGAAATCCCTAATCGCGGTTAAGGATTAATCCGCTCCGATCGTTCTCTGGACCCCACGCTTCCACATATTTGTCTGTCTAGGCTTTGCTTCAAGTTTCCCGATCATCGTACTCCCTAATGCTCCCTTCCATCTACTCAAACCGAGTGCTCTGATCTGGCGTTAAAGATTATGTTTTTGATCGGTCAAGACTCTCTTCCTATATCATTACATCTCTATTTTTACATTTTATACATCGTAAAGTGTTTCGAGATCACAAAATTAGAATCAATAATACGTATTTGTGAAAAACGTATACATGGGCACAGTATTCCTCGCAATAACGCGATACGTTGGAGATTACAATTGTAATTCCAATAATATCGAGATTTACACACCTTCTTCCTATCCCATAATGTTCCAAGAGCTAGCTATAATCTTTTCAGTATCTTCGCCGACGGATTCACTTGTCGCAATCTAGCCATTTGCCAAACGTACGATATAATTCTTTTTTTAAAGCAGTATTAAAAATTACATCATTTCAATTAATTGCAATATATACAAAGATATTTCGGAAGCGAGATAAAAATATAAAAGATTATTTTTCGTTTGATAAGCAGTGAATAAATTGCGGCAGTTAATGGATCATTATTGAAAGGAGATATCACTATACTTCGAAAAAGAAAATTTCGTCTTTTTTTTTCTGTTTCGTTATCTCGATTCTTTTCAATCGTACTTGACCGACTGGAAACCCAGCCAGGGCGCGATACCACAAAGTTCCTACCAGACACACTCGACATGAATTCCCTGTGCAAAGGAGTAGTTTGTGGTGGCGGCGGTTTATTGGTGCCTTAACTCTCACTGGTCAATCGTTCTGTTCTGTGCCCTGCCTGTCCTGCGCTTCTGGTTCGCAACTCTGTGGTGGTATTCTCTGGGTCGGCTCTCTACCGGTGCGCCGCGTGTGCCTGCTTCCGGTACTTCCTCTTCCGGGCCCTCAAAAAAGGAGTTGCAACAGCGTGTTGTGTTCCAGCAACACGCCGCCCTGATCGGCGGCCCGAACGCAACCAGCTGTCCAGTATGCCACAAGCTCTTCCTCGGCGGTGAGGCGTTGATGGAGCATATGAAGCACACCCACAAGGATCCGAACGCCTCCGGAGTTGCCAGTAAGTATTGAAAAATCGCGTATCAATCGCCCTCTCGGCCGGTTGTCTATGTCTCTCTCCTTTCCCCACGTGTCGCTTATCATTTCTCTTCACATTCGCGCACTTACTAATCTTCGTTAATCATAACCAATCGATTAATTGGAATCCGATCACGGAGTCTCGCAAATGGAGTGCATGAAACGAGCTTGAAAACGAAACCTTGACCGTGTCATTTCTCTTACTGACTAATCAACGAACTTAACGCTAAATCTTGCTCGCGCATTAACTTTCTAAGCGAAAGATCTAACTCTGTTCGTTCTAACCGTATTTAATTCTTAGCCAGAATCCTTAACTAGGATCGCGCGAGGAGCCCCTTAAGGGTTCTAAGACAGAGAAAGAGAGAGACCGACATAGACACGAGAGCGGCGACATTAATCGTGAGTAAGACTAAGAGAGAGGTGGAGCAACCGCTCGTCGAGACACGAAGGGTGGTTCGTTCTTTAGCCTTTAAGTACGTTTCGCATCCATCCCAAAAACTTGCTTTGGCGCGGGCGATACGCACACATTGTCCTTGTTCACTTCTTCGTACTGTTTTCGCCTGGGTGGGAAAGGCGTGTAGCATTTGGCACACTCGCCGACTAATACTTGGGTACTACTCGCTAATACAGATACATGATGCTTCGAGGGTGTCTCGTTCGATCTCTATGCGTGCCTTGACACATGCGTGCGCGATACGTGTGCAGACTGGCGGACGTACAGAGAGAACAAAAGTCAACCTACTCTGCTTCTTCGTTCAACTTTAAAGCGAGGAATCGGCGTTTTATTCTTGATTGTAAGTGCCGACACGGTGGTCTGTCACGGTGATCGACGTAGTCGGTATATTTGAAAACTAATGAATCGCGCTGTATTGCAAATACACGTTGAACACGTTATTGTTATTTAAAATCACAAGAATTTAGAGAAATGAGACAAACATACACAAAAACCAACTAAGAAACTTGGCAAAATGTGAATGTATGACTTTTTGTCGTCTTCATTCGATGTAACAAGTAACGGACGTTTTTCGTGTATAAACGATCTTTTTAAAGAGTTTTATATACATATTTTTTTCTCTGTACGTTTGCGTATGTGCAACGCGCGCGAGTACGTCTGTGTGAATCCTGGCTTTTTGGGCCAGCGGCCTTGCTCGTGAAAGGGAGTTAGCAGCGCGGTGGCGACGGCGCCGGCCGATGAGTACTCTGCGTGCCCGAGGTCAGTGCTCTCTCCTGGTCCTTGGCTATCCGCGTCCGTAAGGTCTCCCTTCGCCTTCGAGGTCGACCGGAATCTGTGCGTACGTACGCGCGCGCGTGCACGTGAGTGCGTGAGAAATAAGGTGGGAGAGGAAAAAAGAGAGAAAGAGAGGGAGAGAGAGAGAGAGAGAGAGAGAGAGAGAGAGAGAGAGA